AAAAAGTAAAGCATTAGACTTGATTTATTCTGATGTTTGAGGCCCTTTTAATATTAAATCTCTTAGTGGAGCTTCTTATTTTGTCACTTTTTTGGATGATTATTCTAGAAAACGTTGGTTGTATCATTTGGCATCTAAAGATCAAGTTTTTTAAGTTTTCAAGGTTTTCAAAACCAATATTGAAAAAGAAACAGAGATATTTATTACATGCTTGCAAACTGATAATGGTGGTGAATATTGCTCTAACACTTTTGATACTTTTTATAGAGAAAATGACATTCGCAAAGTAATGACTCTTCTTGGGACACTATAACAAAATTATGTCATTGAGAGAATGAATAAGACCATCATTGAAAAAGTAAAAAGCATGCCATCACAATCTGGTATTGGTAAGTAATTTTAGGCTGAAGCTACTAATACAACTCTATATTTAATCAATAGATCTCCCAATACACTATTGAATGACGAAATACTTCAAATTCTGTAGAGAGGTAAAAGTGTCATATGAACGCTTCTAGTTTTTTCCCGATAGATAAATTGCTCATTATCATTTGCCTCACTGTGCTAATGTCCAAAGCAAGATTTAAAAACACAATTCGGTGACTTAGATTGCCCTTTTAGATAACTGGTCCATATCGGCAACCTGACTTAGTGAACCAACAAATTAAAATTTAAAAAAAATAAAAAATATTAAAAATAAGTAGGAAATAGAATTGCTAGAACCGGCCGGTTCTAGTCCTGTTCGCCCATTTTAAAACCATGGTCCAAAGACACGGAAAGATAATTGGGTTAGGTTGGTATATGCACCCATGTAAATATTGTAAAGTCACTATCATATGTTTGAGTTCCACCCAGTGTATCTCGCTAGAATTGCGTCCATATTAATGGGTTCTTCAGGACCACTCAATGAGCGGAAACTACAGTCCCACATTTGCTCCAGCTTGTAGGGTGTTCTTGCTCGAGCAATCTATACATTTACTTTTTTTTTGTTGACAAATGTCATGAATTTTTATTAAAATCTATACATTTACTCTCATTTGGGAAAATACATCTAAAGGTTCAAAACCTATTGCAGAATCATTAATGGTCCAAATATCGATAAGAACTTGTTTTTTAATTTCTATTTTATTCAGGTGCCTCCTTACAAAATATCTCAAATATCTAAATCGCCATGCTAATAGTCGGGAATCTTGAACAAGTTGGGTATCTCAGTAATTTGACCCTCTTAAACAATTTAGATAATAAGAGCATTTTTTCAAAGCCCATATCGATAGGGTGGATCGCATATGCATGTCAAATGGTAGACAAGCCATTTGGATTAGTTTGATTCGGTCAAATTGGTGATCTAAATAATAGTAAAATACAAATATAAATTAAAATTAAATAGGGATTTATAAATACAATTTACGAGGACTTAAAAAAATATTAGATAAGTTAAAATAAAAAATAAAAATAAAAGAGGGGTTTTAGGGGGAACTAGGTTGTACCATCCCAGAACCTGCTCTTTCCTGCCTGATTTCCCATCCATATAAGTGACAAGGATCGGAAATCGTCGGGTTCTAAAGCACCTATAGGGGTAGTTTGAATATTTTAACCTATTTTTAAAAAATAGGTAAGTGAATTGAAATTTAAAAATAAAGGAAAAGTTATGTACGAGTTGGCGGACTCAAGAGCCTGCTGTCTCACAAACATCGACTTTTAAGATGGAAGTTGCATAAAGTGCACAGATGAAAATAACTTATGGACATTGCAAAAAATATCCCTAAAAAAATGTATATTTAAAATTTTAAATTTTTATTTGTTTTTTATATTCATCATCACCTTGGCCTAGATCATCCATCCTTTGTAATTTGATAAAAAAATCCATCTTTAAGATGGATTTTAGGGAGAGGACGCACATATAGATATGAGCTGGCGTCATAGAAACCCTATCAAAAAAAGAAAGGGAGCGGAGCAGTTTGTATAAGGTTGCAAACTTAAACAATCAAAGTAAGATGCACCTCCAAACTTTATCATAAGATAAAATTTTATTGTTAGAAATTTTTTAGGATAGCATAAGAATCTATTTTCATTTATAATTATAAAATTTTAAACCTAAGAAATAATTCAAATCAAGCATATCTATAAATGTACGAAAAATCTCAAAAAATAGACAGTCGAGATAATGCATTGCAAAATGTACTATTTTTAGAACTTGATCTTCTTTTTTTTCATATTTATACATCTTAATGTGAAGATTGTTGGGTTTATGTGGCGTTTAAAGGCCTTATGAGTGGAACATAAACTTAGTGAGAGTGTGGTCCCTCGTGGACCATACTAAATAAACAATGGTTTGCTGATACCGATCTGTGTTTAACGATCTAGGCCAGTCGGTTGGAAAAAACCCATGTTACCTGGGCATGAAGAACAAACCGATGAGGGTTTATGGGTTAGCCCTTGATGAAGTCGGAGAACATGCCCGGATGAGTGAGCCGAGGGATTGTGTGACCCTTGTGTGTGATGGTGGCCTACAGAGACAGGGGCCAAAACCTCATCCATGTACCATCACACGGCATGCATATCGATAGATCGTTCGAAAAAACTAGAAATCCACTTTTTAGGGTGAAGCGTATGCATGTGCGAGAGATACCCCTACGCACCATAGGAACTATGGTCGCATCAGTTCTAAGTGACCTTGACTTGTCTCTAGGGGAGGACCTAAAATCTATAGACGAGGATTGCAATCCCTTGACTCATAGATCAGACTTTGGTTACCCGCTAATGAGCCCCTGCTTGGATTGTGGATCATGGAAAATACTGGGTTGATCTGATAAAGCAAATGTGGTTTGTAGTCCACAGTTGAAGGTGGAGTGCCCCATGATTGTTGATTCATAAACTATATGGATCATTTTTTCATTAAATTAATTTAATTGTGTTTGTTTTATGATGAAAATTATTTTAAAATTATTATTTGAATTTTTGTGAACCACTGGATATTTTATTTATAATTTTTGGATTTATAAAATTAAAGATATTGATTTTACAATTGTTTAAATATTCAAATAATATTCTAAAATCCTTTTATTAATTTTAAATATATAAAAATATCATGGGGGCCCATTGTGCATATGGGCCCGCCATATTTTTAGAACATGGAGCCCATGAGTGCCTCCCTTGGGTTGCACCCCGACCCTTATTCTCTTTCCTATTTTTTGGTGATATGAATTGTGGCCATATGGTTGGAAGATATTGACTAAATATTGAGTTGATATATCTTTTAAAGATTTTGTGGAAAGATTGAGTAGACTTGTGCTATTTTATGGTATGCACAATATTTTGATTAGATTTAATTTATTTAATTTCTATTGATGGCAAAATAATTTAAGAAAGGAGGATAATGGTTCATGCACATTCGAGAATGTTGATGGCCCATCTATGGAATGGATGCTTTAGATCTCTCACCTCACAAGTCACAACCCTAACAAACCATAATCTTATTCATGGATTTATGGCTAATGGTTTTAGGATTTAGCAAAAAGAGAATCCATCTCTTTCAAACTAGGTTGTTAAGAGAATTCACATATGGTTTGAGTTTGTGATCAAAGGGGTTCATGTTTCATTGGTATGGCTTAGCCGAAATTTGCTTTCTTGGTTCGAGATTGAAGCAAAACCGTTGATCCCTTGCCATCGGATGATGGTGACACGGTGTGGGGTGTAATAAGCCCGATTGATGTAATCTTCGACACTCTTCTTTTTGTTTATTGCAATCTTATCTTTTATTCTCAAGCATAGTACATAGTTGTTTCAATGATATGAATTTGTTAAGATCTTGGTTTTATTGTTATGTTAATTTTATTTTGAAATTTATCTTATTATAATAAAGACCGCATGTAAGTGATCTTTTGTCAAAAGAAAGGGTTGAAAAAAATAAAAGTAAAATGTATTCCTCAGTAAAAGACTCTTTCTTTTCAAAATGAACTATTACATTGCTCTCTAACATCAAAATAGCATTTTCTTAGAAATGCCCCTTAATTCTACAATATAAGACTTTTTCAAAAACAGAAAAAAAGTTTCTTAGATTGTTATATAGGATGAACAATTGCATTTTCTCTAACATCAAAATAACATTTTCTTAGAAATGCACCTTAATTCTACAATATAAGACGTCAATGTGATATAAACTTCCGCAAAAATAGATAAATAACCCAAGTAGAAGGAGCATAATAAGTTTTTATTAACGGTGCAGTTTGTATAGACCCTAGGCTCTAAACAATCAAATTAGAGCATACCTTCAAATAGTGTCGAGAAATGTGGTTTTAATATTGAAAATCTTTGTGATAGCTTTAAAATATATTTTCATATTTATTTATAAAGTTTAAAGGTTAAAAAATAGTATAGATCGACAAATCTATGAAAACTTGAAAATCTTGAAAATTGACGGTAAAAAAATGTATTACAAAATACACTATTTCCAAAACTTGAAATACAATTTTTTTCTCATGAACATGCATCTTGATGTCGAGATGATCGATTTGAAGATATTTGAGCATCAAAACAACCTCTTCTAATGAAATTTTTTGGGTAGATTCAAATTTGATTGATTAGAGTCTCGGCTCGATATAAACTTTTCCCTTTTATTAATTCTAGAAACCTCTCCCCAAATGAAATTGGGATCGTTTGCGCTCTCCAAGACTCAAAAAGGAGTTCTGACCCCGAACGGCAAATCTAGGGTCTCACTTAGCCGCAAGGGGAGAGAATATAGATTCTTGCTCCCGCGGGAGCATAATAATTTTTTTAACCTAGTCTTATCGTGTGGTCATCGACGGCAGAGACATATTCGCCCAGTATGCAATGACTTGGGAGCAGCATCGCTAATGCGTGCGGAGTATTTGTATTTTCTAAAAGTATCACCGTCCAATTCGTTAAAAGACGCTGATAAATCTATCTGATACTGTTTGCGTGAACCATAACAAAAATAACAAGGCTATAAATTCCATTAAAGATTTATGGAGCTTGGAAGAGCGGCCCATCTTCTCTCACAAAACAAAGAGTTAGAGAGAGAGAAGTATCTGGATTAGAGAGAGAGAGAGAGAATGGCTCATGCTTTCGAGCAAATCCAATTGCCTCAGCAAAAGCATCTCAATGGGGGGTTTCAATTCCCTGCAATTCTATCTCCAAACCCAAGTTTTTATCCCCGCTCTGCTTCTGTTTCCCTCCATGAATTCACGCAAAGAATCACCGAATCAAAGCCATGGCTCGAAAGCTTGCTCCTTTCAAGTGGGTCGATCCTGTTCAGAGGTTTCCCTGTAAAAACTTCCTCTGATTTTAACGCAGTGGTCGAAGCTTTTGGGTTTGAGGAGCTTCCTTATGTTGGGGGTGCGGCTCCAAGAACCAATGTTTTTGGTCGAGTTTTTACGGCAAATGAATCGCCGCCTGATTCCCCAATACCTTTTCACCATGAAATGGCTCAGGTTTTTTTCTAATTTTTACTTCGATTTTTGTAAGATTTTTCTTTTCTATTTATGGGTGAATTGGATGGAGTAGTTCCATTTGGTGTGTGACTTTTTTTTTTACTTTTCTATTTATGGTTGAATTGGATGGACTAGTTCCATTTGGTGTGTGACTTTTTTTATTTTTTGTTGCAAGTTTACAAGTTTTAATTGTTTGCTCTTTTATGCAATTTTGTAAGCTTTTATTCATCTGTGGAATAAATCCATGAATGACTGTCATCCTTTAGTTATTTTTCTGTAATTTTGTAATGTTCTATTTATCTACTATGGGTTTAGGCTTGAGATTAGATATTTGGTTTATGCTTTGATTTTGAGGAATTTTTTTTTTATTGGTATACTTATTTTGCAGAACACTATTTAAATTTTATATCTGTTATATTGTCCATTTCTGATATTTTGTAATAAATATTGTACGATAAGCCAAAAAAATGACTATTTAAAGAAGGGCAAATGAGCATTCTGTTGCATAATTTTTTCCTTAAGGATTTTCTAAAAGCTTACTGAGTTGATATTTCCTCATTCCTGTTAAGAAAAGAATTTTTGATCTCAAAAATTTTCTATTAAAATTCCTGTTTTGAAATTTTAATGGAAGTGGATTGCTAAAATTCAGGTAAGAAAAATGAAAGTTGGCCAATTGAACCCTTTCCAAGCTTTATAGAATTATAAAGAAGAGTTCAGCTGAACCATTGATCTTCAAATTATATGAGTGATGAATCTGCAAATTTTTTAGTTTACATCCATTAATGGATTAGATTGACTCCTCTTATGATCGTTAGTTTCTTACGTGTGATTGTACGTTTATTTTGGAGAAGTTGGTGGTTGAAGTTATTTTGCTTTCTCAAATATCGGGATTTTCAAGTGGTATAATCCAGTGTTCTAAAGCTTTGGCAAGTCCATTCGGGCTCACCATGTTACTCTTGCCAAGTCCAAGCAGGAACCGACCAAACACATCCAGTTCCTACAGTTTAGTATTATAACCTGTACAGACTTAGCCGAGTTCCTGATGGACCCAGCCAAGTCTGTACAGACTCGGGACCCTCCCTTGTCCGAGCTTTGTTTTTTTAACTTTGGTATAATCTCTTGCTAAAACAGGATTTGGTGACTATTTCTCCTGGTTTTTCAAATTTTATAGTTTGTTGCTAAAGGGGAAATTGGAATGGATCACTTATTTCTCTAATGTAAATCATCACATTCGGACAAGTTGAATTTGTGTAGTATTTGCATACAATTTCAACTTGGGATAAGTTTAAAATGTAAGAATTTTAGAATAACTGGTTTTTGTAAGGCTCTCTTTAATTTGTTCAAAGTTTTTTAACAGGTTCCAGAATACCCCACGAAACTGTTTTTCTTTTGTGAAGAGGAACCAAGGAAAGGTGGAGAAACTCCGATAGTACTTAGCCATCTCATTTATGAAAAAATGAAAGATAGGTTTCCAGAGTTTGTCGAGAGACTTGAGGAGCACGGTTTGATTTACACTCGAGTATTAGGTAAGGGAGATGATCCTTCCTCCCCAATTGGTCGAGGATGGCAATCGACATTTTTGACCCAAGATAAAATTGAAGCTGAGAAAAGGTCTGCATTCTCATTACCCATTATATATTATAGATACAGTACTGTGGTTTCATTAATTTTCTGGCATTCTATATTCATGATTCTAGGTTAATTGACTTGATGTGCTGTGACCTCGGGAATTTGTGTATGCTGGTTATGGCCTTTTCTTTGGTCCTCATGATATTGAGAGATAGGGAAATGCCCACCTTGAATGGAGTCCATCTGTTATATTGCGTACTGTGTGCGAGTCTCCTGTACTATACATTAAAGAAGGGAAGATAGCAAAAACTTGGAATTCAAATGAATTCAAAATCCAAAATTAAAAATTTCGACCAGAGATCTGGTAAAGGTGCAATCAGATATGGTTATGCTAATAATGTGTAGTATACTGTACACCAAAGAGGCACCTACTGTCCATTCTCCTTGATGGGTGGTCGAGATTTATTGTCCCAGTGGGGCCTGTTGGGACATTCACCCGGGTGCTGTTAATATCCTCCATCTGTCTTCGGAAAGAGAGTGGATGGCCCTTTAGTGTGCGTGTATGATGCACTTCACCTATTTAGATGTGTGACTACAGGTATGTGATGATTTTGTTAACAAAATTCCCCATCTCACCATGTGATCATATGCCGGTTAATTGGTGGTCATAAGTTGATGATTTCTGAAAATGCCTGAAAATATGGTAGTTTTGATTGCATTTAGTGATGATTCAGATTTGATCTAATTCCTTTTTTGCATATTGGAAATGCAGTAGTCCTTTATTGTTTTCATACATTGGTCCTGTTATTTGATGCACTTGTATTTTTAATTTCATGGGAAGTGCTTTATCAGTCGTCACTTCTGATTTTTTTTTTTTTCTGTTAAATGCTTATTTTTCCGTTCCATGCATCTCAACCAGGGGAACCTAACGAATTTGTTTGTCGTTTCTTCATTTTTTTTTTTTCATCTTAAGACTTTTTATTATATGAAGCCCATTTTGATTGGTTCTCGTCTAGTGCTCTTTTGTGGAATTCAATGCATTGTTAGGGACCGTGCATATATGCAATGTACCAGAGATGGTTTGAGGTGTTTGACATCATAACTTAGTGAAAGATACACCCATACACACATAAAAGCACAGACACATACAGAGAGAGAGAGAGAGAGAGAGAGAGAGAGAGAGAGAGAGAGAGAGAGAGAGAGAGAGAGAGAGAGAGAGAGAGAGAGAGAGAGAG